TGGAAGGCCAAAAATGAAAATGAAAAAAAAAAGTACTTAAGTACTTCCATGCGGGGTTTTTCACAAGCTTGATTCTTGAAATATGTTTGATGCTATTACTATATCTAAATTTATGCAAAATGAGGAAAAAAGAACTAACTTTTGCTCCATGTATGGTATAATTGGCTATTAAGAAACTACATTGTCAGGTTTGAGTTTTATTGCAGAGAGTAGTACTGTGATAGACCCCTTTTATAATGGTTCTTGATTTGTGTTGTCAAAAAGTGAAAGAGAAACATATGGCTAAAAATTACTTTGCAAGGGTTATTCAAAAGCTTGAACTATGCCCAATGCTATTAATCATTATCAACATTTATGTAAAAAGAAGAAAAGTTTTAATATCTTGCTCCACTGCATATGTCAAGAAACTTTATTTTATGCGTTTGAGAGCTAATAATTTATGTAAATCTGAAACCTTATTCAAAGTCTAATAATGAAATGGTTATGGAGATATTCAAAAGAAAAACATCGGCATTGGAGAAAGTTGGTACGAGCAAAGTATGGGGAGCTGGCTTCTGGTGCACAATCAGTAAGTTCCAGGCGTGGTATAGGAGTGTGGAAGTGCATAAGGAATCATTTGTGGAAGTGAAATTTAGTGGAAGTACAATAGTTCTGCTACTGCGATCTCAGTTTTATTCTCTTGTGGTCAATAAGTCCTGAATATGAAGCATTCCTTATTCCTTTTCTTGTGTAAATCTTGATGGTCCTTGCTCAATAGTACTTGGACTTTCATAGTTATATGTACATATGTATTTGCAAAGAACTATGCTCTTTTGTGTTAGCTTATACCAGATGTTGGATACCGATTCTTTTACCTCTTGTGTTTTGTGGGAGAATAATCTTTTGGTTTCTAATACATTCTTTTTATGATTCCTGAACAGTATTTCTAATACCAGATGTTGATTGATGGGAATGTGTAAAAACAAAATAGTTATTGTTAGTTTTCCTGGAAGTTGACCATTTTTACTCAAATGCAAATCTAATTTAGGACTTCCAGACTCCGAAGTGTTTGTCCCTTTGGTGTCACATTGAATTGGCAAAAGCAGTTTGCTAAAGAAATTGTGCATAGTTTATTCATGCTGAATATTCGATTCTGTATAAACTCTCTGCAGGGTCCTCCCGGTACTGGCAAAACCACTAGTATATTGGCTCTTGCTCATGAACTTCTGGGGCCAAACTATAAGGAGGCTGTTTTGGAGCTAAACGCATCAGATGATAGGTATATTGAGTGCTTGATTCGATTTAAAAACTCTTTATTTCACATGATTCTTTCTTGCTTCTATAAGATTCTTAGAAGCATTAATGTTTCTTGTGCAGAGGCATTGATGTTGTCAGAAACAAAATCAAGATGTTTGCTCAGAAGAAAGTAACTCTACCCCCCGGGCGGCACAAAGTAATTATTTTGGACGAGGCTGACAGGTTAAAAATGTTATTCTGTAAATTTGAGATATCATTTTTGTGCTCAGGGCTTGAAATCATTTGAAAAAACTGTTTACTTTTCTATCTCTTTTGCACCATCTCTATCAATTTGATTGATTCTGTGGGGTAGTAGACAATCTGTCTCCGTGGTGTTGACCTGCATTTTCTGCAGTAGCTCAAATATTTTACTTTTCACTTTTGGGTATGGAAATTTTATTGCTGTGTTCTTTGAATTTTTAGCATGACATCTGGAGCTCAGCAAGCACTGAGGAGGACAATGGAAATATACTCGAACTCCACTCGCTTTGCTCTCGCCTGCAACACTTCTTCTAAGATTATCGAGCCTATTCAGAGTAGATGTGCCCTGGTCCGATTTGCAAGATTATCTGACCAAGAGATCCTTGGACGCCTTATGGCCGTGGTTGCAGCAGAAAAGGTACTAGCAATCTTAATCCTCGACACACTTGCTATTTTCTTCTAGTGTTCCTCTTGCTTCTTCGAAATGGTTTCTTTTGAGTCCTTGTGTTAAATCAACATCTTTTGTCTGCACATCGAGTCAGGTAGCATGTCATTATACCTTAATCTGTTGCAGCACAATGAACCTCCCAGTTGCTCTGTAAATTTCATGCCTTTCTTTGCTAGTCAATTTGGTTATGAGCTAACCAAGATTATGAGCTAAAGGGTAGGAACTTTTCTATATCCTTCAGCCTCACAGGCCGTTGTGAAAGTTTCATTTAATCATTTCAACATGCAGTCATCTTTGTTTTTACCAAATGTTAAATTGGTAGAAGGGAGGAAAGAGATTTGATCTATGGATATGGCGATATGCTACCTTGCAGGTTCCTTATGTACCCGAAGGTCTTGAGGCTATTATATTTACTGCTGATGGAGATATGAGACAGGCCTTAAATAACTTACAAGCAACACACAGTGGATTTGGTTTTGTCAACCAAGAGAATGTTTTCAAGGTTACGAGACTCACTTATCTCTTTTCATATAATTATTCATCTTTTGACAGACCCCCCACTGATGATTCCATTCTCTTTTGCTGAATGCTAGGTTTGTGACCAGCCCCATCCGTTGCACGTGAAAAATATGGTGCGGAATGTCCTTGAAGGGAAATTTGATGATGCTTGCGCGGGTCTAAAGGCTCTATATGACCTTGGCTATTCTCCCACCGATATTATCACAACCCTCTTCCGAATTATAAAGAACTATGATATGGCAGAATATGTCAAACTGGAGTTCATGAAGGTTTGACTGTTTTAGTACTTCTAAATAATTCCAATCTTTATAAGCCATCTTTGGTTTAACATCAATTATTTCTTTTTCTGCTGGTATAACAGGAAACTGGTTTTGCCCACATGAGGATCTGCGATGGGGTTGGTTCATATCTTCAGATGTGCGGTCTTCTGGCTAAACTATCATTGGTTCGAGAAACGGCCAAGGCTGCATGATGAGACAGGCATTTGAAGTACATGGTCAACAGAGAGATTTATTCCTTGGTGATCTTCCTTTTTAGTTCTTCCTTTCCTTAAAAACAGCTTAGCTTATATGCCAAGCGTTGGCCTGTCTAATTGCAGTCATTGACTCATTGTTGTTGTTACTACGTGGAAAGTGATTGCTGAACCATTATGCATTTCAATTCTACTAAGGTAAAAGACAGCCCTTTTAACACTAGAAATGTCCATGTTAGAAAAGAACCATATCTTTCAATGCTAGTAAAAGGCCGATTATGTCAAAAAAAAATCTTTGTTTTGCTTAGTAGCTTCAAGATCCTCGTCCAGAGTCCTTTGCAGTGAATCCAGTAGTTATAAAAGATAAAATTTATCCGTATGCAGTGTTTACATCAAATCGATATAATATCATATGTTTTTCATATATACGTTAATACTCCCTCCGGTCAACTTTTATTGATTTTTTTGCCTTTTTTTTTGTAGTCTACAATATTTGATTTTTTCAAAAAGAAATAATTTCTTTTTTCCAAAGTTGCTCTTGGAGTAAAGAGCTGAGGAGTATTTGTTGTATTTCCAATGAACAAATTAAAATTAATATCAATTTCATTGTTAATTAGTGCTGAAAGATTAATATGTGCGAAAACAGCTAAAAATTCAATTGAAATAGACGGGAGGGAGCATGTATTCTTGTCTCATTGTACCACTTAATTATGATAAATTAAATAATTTGATGTAAACATCGGATATGATAAATTTTTTCGTGTTTTTCCACCATTGGTGTGTGGATCCGCTCTGGAAAAAAAGATTTGCCAGATCATTTTGGGAACTTAGTTGGTACTACATTAATTTATTTTCGTGTCATATTTCAATTATCTAGTTTGCGGTGTTCCGTGTATTTGTACGTGTGCTCCCCGTGGAGGTAACTTGACAATAATTGCTTTTACAAGAGGTGCCTTTCATAACGTGTTTTAGAGAAATATATTCTTAAATTTAATGGTTAATAGTCAATGGTTTGGCTTCATTTTCCGTACATTGTTACACTTTTTTTCTCGTTGACTGAGTATAGACATCAAAATTATTATTTACTTGACTTTGGTTTGCTTTTTATTTAAATAGTTGGAATTTATTGCTAATAAATTCATACTGTTACCATTCTTGATCACCTAATTGGTACCCTTTGATTTGTGACATCTAAATTAAAATATAATACGATTAGGTTATTGGTGATTGATATGAAATCATATCAAATTAGAGATCGCGTGAGGCAGTTGTTTTTATTTTATTTTATTTATGAAGAAAATTGAAGTAACAATAATATGAAAGTGGTATCATACCAACTTTCGACGATGGGTTTTTCTACTACAATCTGACTTTCATTTTAGCTAAGTGATAGAAAACGCAATCCAAGATAAAAAGTGAGAACTTTAACAAAGAAATACATATATTAATAAACTCGGTAGGGCATACCGAAATGTTTGTACAAAAATGCACTTTTAAGAAAAAAGTATTAATACGTATTAATATCATTTCATAAAGGATGTATTAAAAGGTGAAAATAATTATAATTAATGATTGAAAAAGTTGAAGAAGCATATATATTATTCCATGACCTTGTGACATATCCGAACATGAAAGATGCTGAAGGAGAATGTTTAAAGAAATTGCAATAATGAGACTTCAGAACAAAGCTATAGCTATTTTTTTTTTTTGGTAATTAGCTTTTGTATTAATCACCAATGAAACTTTGCACCATAGTTAGCTATCATAGCTTAACTATCATATATATATTTATCTCATACTCTTCCTATTATCTATTCAAAATCTATAACTTTGCACTATATCAACTATACTAGTAGGAGCTCGTGCACAACAAATACACACTATCTCCTTTGCTATCTTCTCCCAGCTCGTATTCTTTTTCTCAAAAATTCTCTGGTTTCTCTCTATCCATATATTATATACCATTTCCGTGTATAACATCTTGAATAATTGAGCTTCTTTGGATCTACCTTTTGCTCTCTTAATCACTTCATGCATATGTTGTTCCCAGTTAGTTCCTGGTAAGCTTTGTTTCTGTGCAATTCATCACTTTCCTATTACCTCTTTTGTGTATGTACACTCCACATATATGTGATCTCGAGTTTCCTCTTCTTTCTCGCATAGACTGCATCTGTCCTCACCTTGAATCCCCCATTTCTTCAGCCTATCAACTGTGAGTAGTCTGTTCTGCATTTGTAACCAAAGAGTGAACTTTGCTTTTGGCCTTGCAGCATTACCAAACATCAAACCTTTCCATAAGACTCTAGGCTGGTCATCCAGTAGCTGCAGATATATCTGTTTGATGATCCCTTTTCCCTTACATATTTGCATATTATTATCTTCTATGATCTGCTTTGCTTCCAGTATTTTCCTCACCATCCAGCTTGCCTGCTTTGGTAGTTTCATTTGCTCCATCTGCTGCCCTTTTATATAGTAAGCATGTATCCATTTTTTCCACATTCTATCTTCTTTCTGTGCCACATTCCAGTATAGTTTACTAATGGCAGCTTTATTCCACACATGTTTATGATATTCCATCCACCACTGCTTTTTGGGCAACATACTCTTTCCCAACTGATCAAAGCTTTCTTTGTTATGACATTATTACCAGTCCATAAATAACTTCGACAGAAAGCTTTTCACTGCTTTCATTACTTTAACTGGTAATATGAACACTTGAGCCCAATATGATTGAACTCCAAATAAGACACTGCTAATCAATTGGCTTCTTCCTGCATATGATAATTTTCTTGCTGTCCGTGAAGTAATTCTTGCCACAATTTTATCAATGATTGGTTTCCACTGTATCATTGTCAGCTTTCTAGTTGAAAGTGGCACTCCTAAATATTTAAAAGGCAGTTCTCCCCTTGTAAATCCCGATTCCTGCAGTATCTGTTCTTGTTCTTGTTGTCCCATTCCTCCAAAATAAATTGAATTTTTTCCTTTATTTGCTTGCAATCCTGAAGCTTTTGAGAATTGATTGAAGCTCTTCATTATAGCTTTAACTGATTCAGTTTCTCCTTTGGAAAATATTAAAAGATCATCTGCAAAACATAAATGAGTTAGTGATAATTTGGCACATCTGGGATGATATTTGTACTGCTTGCTTTCTGTCATGTCCTTCAGTGTTCTACTCAGGTACTCCATTGCTATTGCAAACAAGAATGGGGACATAGGATCCCCTTGCCGTAACCCTTCTTGGCATTAAAAGGTTTTGTTGGTTCTCCATTAACTATGATTGTGTAGTTTACTGTTTTTACACACTCCATCACCCATGCCATGTATCTTTCTGGGAATCCCATCAGCCTTATAACCTACTCCAAATAAACCCATTCAACTGAGTCATAGGCCTTTTGTAAGTCAATCTTGATCATGCATCTTGGTGTTATGTGCTTCCTTGTGTAACCTTTAACTAATTCATGGGCCAGAATAATATTGTCTCATATTCTCCTCCCTGGTACAAATCCAGCTTGTGCTTCACAAATGATTCCCCCTAATATCTTCTGCATTCTAGCTGCCAATATCTTTGAGATCAGCTTGTATAGCACTGTGCAACATGCTATTGGTCTGTATTCCTTAATTGTTACTGGATTCTCTATCTTTGGTATCAAAGTTATGGCTGTACAATTAATAGCTCTATACAATCTTCCTGTACTGAAGAACTCTTGTACTGCTTTAGTCACCTCATCACCTATAATGTGCCATGCTCTTTTAAAAAATACTGCATTATATCCATCTATCCCTGGTGCCTTGTCATCTCCTATTCCTTTTAGACCTTCTTATACTTCCTGTCTAGTTACTTCTGTGTTTAGCATCATTCTCTGCTCCTTGTTCAATGTAGGCCTCTTCTTCATTACTGCTCTATTAACTGCTGATAGATTCCCAACTGCTGTGCCTATAAGGCCTTTATAAAATCTCAGAATTTCTTCCTGAATCCCTTCCTGATTGTTTATTCTGTTACCATCTAATCCCATCAGTTCTTTTATTTGTTTCCTGTGCTTTCATTCTTTCATTACTGCTGAGAAGTATTTGGTATTTGCATCTCCTAGTTTTTTCCATTTATCCCTAGATTTCTGCTTCATAATGCTTTCTTCTATCATTGACCATTTCTCTAATTTCTGCAGTTCATCTCTCTCTTGAGCTTGCAATACATCATCAAACTTTTGTTGCATTTGACTTTGTATTTTCTTTATTTCTTCTCTTGCATCTTCCATTTTTTGCTCAGCATTCCTAAATTCTCTGTTGTTCAGTGTCTTCAATGTAATTCTGAGCCTTTTCAACTTTCTCCATATTCCTCTCATTAGCCAAGGATCCTGATACTGTTGCCAAGCTTCTTCTACTAGCTGTGTAAAATCTTTGTGATCTACCCAAACATTAAAGAATCTAAAAGGACTCCTAGTGTTAGCTTGGTCCACTCCCAGATTCAGTAGCATTGGTGCATGATCTGAAATCCCAGGCATCTCATATTCCACTGTTACATTACCCCATTTCATCATCCATTCATAATTTCCAAAGGCTTTGTCAATTCTACTTTGTATTCTATCTTCCATTCTTTGCTTGTTACTCCATGTATAGTAATCTCCCTTCCACAACAGTTCATTTAGGTTGGCTGTCTGCATGCATTCTACAAAGTCTTGTACATCACCCCGTTGAACTAGATTGCCTTGATTCGTATCTGCACCATACATAACTGCATTGAATCACCTATCACTATCCAAGGTTTGTTGATACCTTGAGCTAGTGTCTTCAGTTCTTCCCATAAGTTTTTCCTTTGCTCAATTGGGTTGAAACCATATATGATAGTCATCAAACATTCCACCTGACCAGCATTCTCTATGACTTCACAGTGTATCATTTGAGCATTTTCCTTGATCTTAGTAACCTGGTAATTATTATCATCCCACATTACCCAGATCCTTCCATTCTTGGCTGATGCATAATTATTCACACTGCTCCACCCTATGGCTATGTTTTTAGTTATACTTCCTGCTTTACTCTCTTTTACTCTTGTTTCAACTATGCCAGCTATCCCTATTTTTTTTGTTTTCAGGAGTTCCTTCAGTTCTTTCTGCTTGTACCTTTTATTAACTCCCCTTATATTCCATACTAACCAGTTCATAAGGATTTCCTTGTCTTACCTCCTCTGTCTGGAGGTACTGTATGTGCACCCTTCCCCTCTCTACTCAATATTTGGAATCCATTCTTCAGTGGTACTGATCCCAGGACTGGGAACTCAATGTCATTAAACTCTGGGATTTGACTTTCCACCTCTTTCCTTGTATTCCCTGGTGTTTGTACTTCGTTGCTTATTACTTTTTGCTTATCAGCTTCCATTGACCCTTGTCCTACTTCCATTATTCTTCTACTATCTTGTTGTTGTATCAGTCCTTTCTCTGAGGCAGATTCTTGTTCAATCTCTCTTGTCTTCCCTTTCTCCTTTGTAACCCACTGCTGTACTACTTTCTTTGGCTTTCTCTGTTCATTCTGGGTAGTCAATTGAATCTGTCTTCCCCTTTCCTGCTTGCAATCATGCCTAATGGTTTGACACTTCTCACAGAACTTTGGTTTCCAGTCATAGACTACTGATTGCAGAAATGTTTTCCCATTTGAATCTTCCACTCTTATTTCATCCTTTAGAGGCTTTGTCACATCCACCTCTATTAGCATTCTAGCATACGATACTCTTAGTTGCTTTGCAATGCATTCATCAGCATACATAGGTGTACCAATAGAGCTTGCAATCCTACTTAGTGATTTCACCCCCTAGCAGTTCAATGGAAGTTTTGGAAACCTAATCCATAGTGGAATCTCAGTGGGAAATTCCTTCCCAAAATCAAAGTCAGTTGTCCTTTAAGTATAATTGGCCTATTACTGATAGTATATGGACCTGCTAACAGAATTTCCTGCATATCTTCTATCATTTTAAATTTGATTATATAATAACCATCCTCATGCATATATAACTCTGGATGTGGAATCGTATTCCATGTGTTCTCTATATATCTCTTCACTACGTTATATCCTGGCCAATCACCCAGAACATACGCAATTAAAGCTCCTCTCCATTTCTCTGTTTCTCTATCAACTTCTTCCTTATCTAATTGTACTCTAATTTCACCATTTACCACTTGTGGAGGTATGTAGGTTAGTTTCATACCGTTTTCAGCTGCTCTATTCTTCGCAAATAAGCTCATCCATGCTGCTCTCACCTCCTCCTTAGCTTCTACCTTGTTTTGTTCTACAATTGTTACTGTTCCACTGGTTTGCATCTGTGAATTGATCTCATTCCTCTTATCTATCTCCTTTCCTGTCTCTCGTTCCTTCATAGCCATCTCAGATCTCGATTGAGACCCTTCTGGTTCTTCGATTTGCCTCCTAGCTCCAGATCCAGTGTTTGCATGTATCGATTGTACCTCTGCTTCCCTATCTTCCTTTGGTTCTTCATCATTTTTGTCTTCCAGCTCAAAGTTGTTGTTCTGAATTTTTCGTAGGCGGCCTCGTCCTCTTCCTTGGCCACCACCCCTGCCTCTCGCTCCTGCCATTTTCACACCGGCGCAGGTTAATCTAACTTACGCCGAGAGCATGAGAGAGAGAGCTCTATAGCTAAATCTGTCTGCTTTCTATCTAAACTTTTAACCTGTGATCTTTTATGTACTCATTTTCTTACTTTAAACTTCTTGGAGTGATTGGGTCGTGAAATTTCCTGGCGCAGATACGGATTTAATCGACCCAATGCAAATATTGAACATCGAGTGAGAAACCAAAAAGCAAAAATTAGAGTGTACCTAATGAAAGAAACTTAACATGTTTTCTTCTTGTTCTCTTCTACTTTTTTCTCTTTTTCCCCCCTTTTTAGCGAGAGAATTGTGTTAAATGCTAGTAGTTCAACCATCAACCAACAATAGTTATATCCTTTTTCCCCTTTCGAAAAACGAAGACGCAACAAGAAAAATGTATTGCTCATCTCGATATGTTTGTTTCGGTATCAGATGATATTAGACAGAAGACGGATTTAGGATTTGAAGATCGACTTTAAGTATATTTACAATAATAACTAAATTCATGGTCAAATATTCATCGATATTTAGTGCACTTCTTAATATATAAACAGACTCAACAAAAATTACTGAGTTCCCTTAATGTCGAACTCTAGATTCGTCCCTGATATTAGGAACTAAAATTATTGGTCATTTATTATTATAACTAGAGTGAGGTGAAGAAGGGAGGTGAAGAAAGCTAATATTGTTAGGACGAAATAATCAGGTGTCATGCGGGAGCTAGTAAAGCAAACCTTGAACGACGATAAATCAGACAGTAAAAGAGAAATCTACCAAAAGAGACACAAACATTTAACGTGGTTCGGTGTAACGACCCGACCGGTCATTATTAGAATTCACGCCCCGATCCCCTATTAACTGCTTCCCCTAAGTTCATTTCTGCTATTTTGGTTTGCCGGGACGTTCGGTGTTGAGTTTCGGAGAGTTTTGGGGCACTTAGTCCCTAAATGAGAGCTTAAGTGTTGAAAAGTGGTCCGTAGTCGGAACAGTGTAAAGACGACCTCGGAATGGAAATCCGATGGTTCCGTTATCTCCGTTAGGTGATTTCGGTGTTGTGAGCTTGTTCGGAATGTATTTTGGAGGTTCCTAGCTAATTTAGGCTTGAAATGCCGAAGTTTGAATTTTTGAACTTTCCGGTCCGATAGTGAGTTTTTGTTCCGAGGGTCGGAATGGAATTCCAGAAGTTGCAGTAGCTCTGTCATGTCATTTGGGACGTGTGTGCAAAATTTCAGGTCATCCGGACGTGTTTTGGTTAGGTATTTTATCGAAAGCGTGTTTTGATGCAATTTGAAGTTCTTAGGCTCAAATCCTTGTTTAATTCGAGTTTCCGGCGTCGTTTTAGGTGGTTTAAGGATTGGTACAAGTTCGAATGGTGTTATAGGATATGTCCGTAGGTTTGGTTGAGGTCCCGGGGGCCTCGGGTGTGTTTCGGTTGCTCAACAGAGCATTTTGGAGTTTTGAAAGATGCAGAAAATGCTTCAGCAGTTGCAGGTCCAAATCCTTCTTCGCGTTCGCGACTTCCCTCTCGCGTTCGCGTAGCTTTGACTTTCCCCTTCTTCGCGTTCGCGTCCTCCTCCACGCGTTCGCGTAGAGTAATTCTGGAGGAGGACCAGTCTCTTCATCGCGTTCGCGAAGCTTCACGTCTGTCCTCCATCGCGTTCGCATTCCGTCTGTCGCGTTCGCGTAGCTTCGTGGTTCCAGGCCTTCGCGTTCGCGGTCACTTCCACGCGTTCGCGAAGGGATTTTTTTTTGCAGCATTTATTTTTCTTCTTCGCGAACGCGAGGCTCCCTACGCGTTCGCGATGCATTAAATGTCTGGGCAGACAGATTTAATCCCAAATTCGAGGGTTCACCATTCTTATCACATTTTGACTTCTAGAGCTCGATTCTTGGCGATTTTTGAAGGTATTTTCACCTGGGCGACTTGGGTAAGTGCTTCTCACTCGATTTAGACCAATTCCCATTAATCTCCTCTTAATTTCATCCTTTAATTTCAGATTTTTAATGAAAAATGGGTAGAACTTCATAGACCGGATTATTGAGTTTTGAGGGGGTGTTTGACCTCCGATTTGGGAGATTTTTATCTGGTTAGACTCGTGAGAGTACGACGGTTCTGAAAATGTAAAAATTATCCGATTCTGAGATGTTGGCCTGAGGGGCGTTTTGGTCATTTTGCCTAATTTCACGTTTTAGCTCTAAATTAAATAGTAGAATCAGTTGCTTGAGATGTTATTTCCAATGTGTGATTTAATTGAATAGATTTGGGCCACTTGGAGTCGAGTACTCGTGGCAAGTACGCGGTTGCTAGTTGATTTTAGCCGGTTCGAGGTAAGTATCTTGCCTAACCTTGTGTGGGGGACTTCCCCTTAGGATTTGAGTCTTCTTTGTTGATTGTATTCCTTGTACGCGAGGTGACGAGTGCGTGCTAGGATTTATTTGTGAAAAATTGTCCCTTTTAGGCTCTTAGATCCTTGTAGTCACCGAATATAAAGTTGTTCTTGATACGATTGAGTTCCCTGTTATTAGCTTCACTTTTACATGTCTTACTTGGAATTTATTTGCCTCTTTTTGGCTTATTCTTGTTGCCTAATTGACTTTTACTTGTTTCATGGTAGACATTACCCTTCTATAGTCACATTATCATTCCTAACTGCTTGTCCTTATTTAGAAAGCATTATTTCTATCTCTCGTGTAAGTAATTGGTCTTAATTGGAAAGAAGTTAGATATCCTATATTCAGTTGATATTTCCTTAATTGTAATTATTTGATTCATGTTAACTTCCTTGTTGTTGAACTTAGTATTATGGAATCGTTGTTTCATATTATTTCTCCCTTGTTGAGTTGTTCTTATTGCGCTTAGCATTTCCCTGTTACGAATATTCCTTGTGAGTTAGTTGCACTGTCTTTTGGTGAACGGAATTTCTTGAGTTGATTCTCTTGCTTTGTTCCTGTATATATTGTCGTTTGTTGTGTTGTACTTGATACTGTGATGCACGAGGTTTCTGCCGTGCGGTTGTTGATATTGTGATGCACGAGGTTTCTGCCATGCGGTTGTTGATATTGTGATGCACGAGGTTTCTGCCGTGCGGTTGATTTTGAAGGGTTGCACGAGGTCTTTGCCGTGCTGTTGTTGTTATTGATGTTTTGCACATGCGGCGTAATAAGGCGGGATATGTTATATGCTTATATGTGGGTTGCGCATGTGGCGGAATAAGGAGGGAACATTGTGATGCACGTGTGGCGAAATAAGGCGGTGCCTATTATATTATTATTTGCACGCGTGGCGAAATAAGGTTGGCTATGTCAGGGGTTGATTGTAAAGAATTGTGACGGCCTGTGGAGGCATTCCTATTTGTTTAATATTGTGATTGTGGGTTGCTTACCTGTATGAGCTTTATCGCTTGGAAGTTGTGAGGAAACATCGTACGTGCGGTCCGTTCTCCTCTTCATGTTTACTAGTTGGTAGAATTCTTGTTAAGACACTTGCACAAGCATACACGTAGCTGAACACTCCTATTAGAGGTGAATTTCTCCTGTTTTTGCTAAGGGTGGAGGTACGCCCTCTATTATCCATTTTATACGTGAAAGTGGCCCTAGTTAGCCAGTGAGTTGTCAGCACGACCGTGAGATTGATGGGGCACAGGATGCCGGGTGTTTGATTTCAGATGCTGGGTTCTCGTGAGTTGTGGTTTGTCCGAAACTTGGTAAAATTGTTGAAAGGGTTGATTAAGACCTTATGTGAACATCATTGTAGGATATGAGTTATTGACTTGTTTTTCCCCTTGCTGTGTTGTGACCTTAGGATTTGGATTGTGATTCTGCCGTCATTTCGTATCATCATTTATTATATTCTCGTCGTTACTTGTTATCCATTTTCCTTATTGTGAATAGTAGCATTCTTGGATATTCATGCAGTCCTTACATATTTATAAATCGTTTCTATTATTCCTATGATTATACTGTTTATTTGACCGGTAGGTGTCTTGACTGTTCCTCGTCACTACTCCATCGAGGTTAGTCTTGATACTTACTGGGCACCGCCGTGGTGTGCTCATGCTACTCTTCTGCACATTTTTGTTGTGTAGATACAGGTACTTCCGCTCAGTTCTGTCAGCCTTGGAAGGAGGCGTATCGGTAGAGACTTCGAGGTATATCTGCTAC